TGTAGACTTGTGAACAGATGTCACTTCACCAGATTCTGTAGATGTTTTAGTGGTTTTACCAGAAACTGGTCCATGAGAAGTGGATTTTTCATGTTCAGATTCTGTGGTTGATTTGCGGGATACAGTGCTTACTTTTTGAGATGTTGATTTTGTTGTAATAGGCTTTCTTGGTGTAGACTTGTGAACAGATGTCACTTCACCAGATTCTGTAGATGTTTTAGTGGTTTTAATAGAAACTGGTCCATGAGAAGTGGATGTTTCATGTTCAGATTCTGTGGTTGATTTGCGGGATACAGTGCTTACTTTTTGAGATGTTGCTTTAGTTGTAATAGGCTTTCTTGATGTAGACTTGTGAAAAGATGTCACGTCACCAGATTCTGTAGATGTTTCAGTGGTTTTAACAGAAACTGGTCCATGGGAGGTAGATTTTTCATATTCAGCTTCTGTGGTTAATTCATGGGATACAGTGCTTACTTTTTCAGATGTTACTTTAGTTGTAATAGGCTTTCTTGATGTAGACTTGTGAACAGATGTCACTTCACCAGATTCTGTAGATGTTTTAGTGATTTTACCAGAAACTGGTCCATTAGAAGTGGATTTTTCATGTTCAGATTCTGTGGTTGATTTGCGGGATACAGTGCTTACTTTTTGAGATGCTGCTTTAGTTGTAATAGGCTTTCTTGGTGTAGACTTGTGAATAGATGTCACTTCACCAGATTCCATAGATGATTTAGTGGTTTTACCAGAAACTGGTCCATGAGAAGTGGATTTTACATGTTCAGATTCTGTGGTTGATTTGCGGGATACAGTGCTTACTTTTTGAGATGTTGCTTTAGTTGTAATGGGCTTTCTTGGTGTAGACTTGTGAACAGATGTCACTTCACCAGATTCTGTAGATATTTTAGTGGTTTTACCAGAAACTGGTCCATGAGAAGTGGATTTTTCATGTTCAGATTCTGTGGTTGATTTGCGGGATACAGTGCTTACTTTTTGAGATGTTGCTTTAGTAGTTATAGGCTTACTTGATGTAGATTTGGGAATATATGTCACTTCACCAGATTCTGTAGATGTTTTAGTGATTTTACCAGAAACTGGTCCATTAGAAGTGGATTTTTCATGTTCAGATTCTGTGGTTGATTTGCGGGATACAGTGCTTAGTTTTTGAGATGTTGCTTTAGTTGTAATAGGCTTTCTTGATGTGAACTTGTGAACAGATGTCATTTCACCAGATTCTGTATATGTTTTAGTGGTTTTACTAGAAACTGGTCCATGAGAAGTGGATTTTTCATGTTCAGATTCTGTGGTTGATTTGCGGGATACAGTGCTTACTTTTTGAGATGTTTCTTTAGTAGTTATCGGCTTACTTGATGTGGATTTGGGAATATATGTCACTTCACCAGATTCTGTAGATGTTTTAGTGGTTTTAATAGAAACTGGTCCATGGGAGGTGGATATTTCATGTTCAGATTTTGTGGTTGATGCGCGGGATGCAGTGCTTACTTTTTGAGATGTTGCTTTAGTTGTAATAGGCTTTCTTGATGTAGACTTGTGGACAGATGTCACTTCACCAGATTCTGTAGATAGTTTAGTGGTTTTGATGGAAATCAGACCGTGAGTCGTAGACTTCTTATGTTCAGATTCTGTAGTTTTTTGAGATACAGTGCTTATATTAGGAGATGCTGCTTTCTTTGTTGTAGACTTGCTGGATGTAGATTTGTAGGCAGATGTCAATTTACTGGATAATGTAGAGATTTTAGTTGTTTTGATGGAACTTGTTCTATGAGAGGTGGATTCTTCATGTTTATATTCAGTGGTTAGTATGTCGGATGCAGTGCTTACTTTAGGAGATGTAGCTTTAGTTGTCACCTCACCATATATGGTAGTTGGTTTAGTTGTTTTTATGGGAACTGTTTTATGGGATGTGGTCTCCCAATTTTCAGTTTTAACTGCAGTTGTCAATTTGGAAGGCTCTTGGGAAGACAATTCAGCTAAGGTTTTGGTAGGTAATGTTGTAAACACTTCAGTAGCCATAGAACCTGTTTCCTTACTTGTTGCAGACTTAGATAATACTTCCAAAATTGTGCTCATTGTGGGTTTGGTGGTTGTCATTTCCATTGGTGCTGTTAAAACTTTTGTCGTTTTAGTTGATAGGGGTGCATATGTATGTATCTCTTCAAAAGTTGTTAATTTTCCAGTTTCTGTACTTGAATGTACTTGTGATGAAGTTGTTTTTTGAGTTGTTTTATGGTCTTCCTGTGGAATTTTAGAGGTTTGATGATCTGTAAATGTAGGTAAAACCTTTGTAGATGCACAGCCGGAACAGCATAAGACACGAATTTCATAGTTGTAACAATATGGAAATGGTCCAGTTTGATCTTCATTTTGGCAAACAAGACCATAGCTAAGATTGCATTGCACATTCTGCTGTAATTCCTCGAGTGAAAAGCCTGGAAGATCTGCAGATCTGCATTGAATATCAGAAGGCTCTTGACAGATTTGAAATCCTGACTTCTTTATTTCCTCATAGGTTTCAAAGTCTCCGTTTGTGTCCAGGTTAGGAAAGCTAACATCAAACCACTGTGACCACTGGCATACAGGTACACAGCTTATTTCTGAATTTGTTATTGCTCTGCTTGTTGTAACTTTGCTTGTCTGAGGAACAGTAATGTTTGCATGATCTCCTTCTTGGGATGTTGAATGAAAAGAGTTTGTACTTTTTTCAGTAGACACGTGCTCTATTTCTGTTATTGGGGCATGTGTCATTGGTGTTGTTGAAAATGACAAAGTTGTTTCATGGTTTTGGGAGGTTGATGTGGTTCCAGACACATATTTGGATGTGACCAAGCTCTCAAAGGCTCTGCCAGTTGTTTTTATCAGCGCAGAAGTCTGTACTGTAGGAATATGTGTCATAGTTGTTTTTGATGTAGACAGGCTAGGTAAAGTAGTTCTCATTTTGGAAACAGAGAAACCTGCAGTTATTTCTCCAGGTGTTGTTTTAGGGCTCTTTGAAGAAGTAGAAATTGTTTGGAACAGTGTTCCAGTTACTTGACCAGTATGATCTGTGTGAAATGTTGATGGACTGCTTGTTGCTCTAACTGTACTGGATGTTAAGGCGTTTTCAGTAAATTTTGAGCCAGTTGAAATCACTACACTAGTTTCTTTTAAATGTTCTGTTGTGTGATCCTTGATTGTAGAATGGACATACGTAGTAGATAATTCACAATCCTCCATGGAACAACAAAGGATCTTTACTTTGTAATTGTAGCAAATCGGAAAACTCCAAGCTTGATCTTTGTTATTGCAAATGAGACCATGAGTGATGTTGCAGGTAACTAGCTGGCCAATATCTGTAATGTTTTCTTCTGGGAATCTCTCGGCTCTGCATTCAATATCTTCTGGCTTTTGACATATATTGTTACCAGCAGCTCTGATATTCTCCAGGGTCTCAAAGTCTCCATCAGAATTAACAATACTGGGAAAATGCACATCATACCAAGGTGTCCAAGAGCATCGCTGTTTACTGCAAGGAGTGGTAAAAATAGTTTCTTGGGTGGAGTGGTGTGGTTTTTTACTTGTTGGGCTTAATATCTTAGCGGTAGACACAGCTGTTGCTTTTATTGATGAAGAACTTTGCGTTGACTGACTCAGTTCTGTGCTAACAGTGTCCTCTGGTTGGACAGTTGAGGCCACTGCAGATTTGGATGTTATTGTCATGAATGGTGTAGAAACTATAGTGTCAGAAGTAGGGGAAGTAATTGATTCTCCACAGGGCACATAGCTACAGCATAAAACTCGCATCTCATAATTAAAGCAGAGCTGGGAGAATTGGTCCCGATTATGACACACAAGACCCACAGATGTATTGCAATGAATGATCTGACCCAAGTCAGCAATTGGGATCTTCGGAAACTTTTGCGCTCGACATTCCACCTGGGATGGTATTTTGCATATGGTGTGGCCCTTGTTTCTTATATTCTCAAAGGTTTCAAAGTCACCTTCATTTTCACCATACTTTGGACAAGTGACATCATACCACATTGACCATTTACATACTTCTTCAAGGCAAGACACAGAGGTTGATGAAGCTTGCCCTGCAAGGGGGAAAACAATACTAATTACACAGCAAGATAAAAACAACTGTGTGTCTGCAAAGCAAAATTTATAGTTCAATGTGTTTGTCATTAGTTAAGCTTGTTTGAAGAAAAAAAAAACTGGTCTAGATTGAAAATTAAAGCTATCATAATTCTCTCTCTGTTTCTGCAAATGAAAGGGATGCTAACATGCAAGTTAACATATTTTTACTGTGTTTAAAAGTAGAACTGAACTAAATAAAACTGACAATTTGCTATGTTATAGCAACAATTTAGAAATGTTAAATGTACCTAAGCAGTACCCTGAAAAATTTACCTTTTTTGGGGAATTCCTCAAAAAATAGCAGGTCCCTTCCAATTATGCAAGGTTGCCTATGCACTCATGTGTTTACAGCCTTATAGATGTATATCTGAAGTGTGGGGTTGAGGCACTTCTGCCTCTGACAGATAGTCTCACATGATTTGGAATGGGATTTAGTGATGTCGCTACTGTGCTGCTCACTGTTGATCTTGCTGGAGGATCTGACATAAGGAAGCAAGAGCCCTGCCTCTACCAAGATATCTGACTTCATACAGAGACACAGTATAGAATTGTCTGAACACTGCAGAGTGATCTGTAAACTTGCAGGCTGCAGCAGAAGGGTAAGCAGATGAACAGAGCAGACAGGTTCTTACCTCAGGGGAGAACAACACTGATCAACATAGTGCAGTCCATTGCTCGCCCCCTACAGTATAGCTGTAAACCAGTGGGCATCTGCCTCCTACTACTGTCTGTGTGTGCTACTAGTGTTTGAAAAAGTGTCAGCACATCCCATAGCAAGCACACCTCAGTTTTATTTTAAAACCTGTACTAGAAAATTCAACAGCTAGAAACTGTTGTAATTTAAACACCTTAGTATAAACATCTGAGATGAACAGTAAATATGATGTTTGTTAGTTCCTACCTGGAGTAGATGTATTTTCTGCATGCACAGTAGTTGTATCAAAATGGAAGGTACTGGTGGGTGCCTTAGTAGTTGGTAAGCATGGATAGACACTTCTATGAATGGTTCCATTTGATGAACATATGGCTGTTATGCATCCCCCAATTCCATCAGTGGTATTATAGATGATGTCACCATAGTTGAACTTCATATTACCATAGTAACAATAGCATGCTGTGAGTTAAAGAGCATGATTAAGAGTTATTACGCTGTCACACACATACAAAGGTACAACAAATTGCTCCAAATGAGTAAACCTTACTATTGTTGATGAATTTTTACCTACACACAGGTGGTCAAAAATCAGAGAAGAGCTCCGTAATTTGTTACATTTCTATTATGTTTAGAAATTTGGATGCTTAGGGGAATGATTGAATTACATTTCTCAGTACCATTCTTCTGTTGCCTACATATGCTACTGAGAATAAAGCTAATATTCTTCAGTAAATTCATATATTACTAAAGAGAAAACATAATATAGTCCCTGATGGCCACATAATTTTTCTTTGTATATTTATAATTTAAAGTGAATTTGTATTTTGATCAAGCATGGCAAAGGAACACGTTCACATTAAAAGAGCCCTCCCCAGTATCCTCTAGTCTCCTTTATTTAGCTTTCATGTCACTCTTTTCAGTCACTGGAAGTGAAAGCAAAGCCCTGGTTAGACTATAAGTCATTGTAGCTTACACAGGACTGGCTGGCCCAGTGCTGTCACATGGGAGAATCTCGTGATCCTCTCTAGAAGTACTGGGCATTTCCTTTGACTTCTGAAACTGAATGCAGCAGAAGGGGTGTGAAACAAAGGTAAGCATATGCTGCTTTGGATGGGGGAAGTAAAGCAATTGTAATGCTTTGACCTGTATGCGCAAGAAAGCATACTAAACAAACACTGTAGATGTTACACTAACTTACAATGATGTTTCCTTCTGAGTGGAATCAACCTTTATGTGATTAAAAAGACCCTGTTACCAGACCTTTCAACAGCCATCTTTCCAAAGGATTATATGTACATTTGATGTATTTCATGCATGTTATTTATCCGTAAAAGCCTCCCTTGTGTGGACATCCAAAAGGCCTGAGACTGCTGCTGGGTGCCACCATATTTGATGTGATGTCAGCAGCCCCAACAGACTCAAAGCTGTCACTCAAGTGACACTCTATTGTATTGTCTTTCGCTCCTCCCTGGTAGCTACATAAAAGGTTATTAAGGAGGTGAGGGTGGAGGAGTTTGACCAGCACATACCGTAATTAGACACTTCCAGAAGAGGAGAGGGTTATGATGTGCAAGAACAGAGGCGCTGTCCTGGGTAATTGACTCTACCTGGAGTACTCATATTCCATAGCAAGTTCAAAGAAACTTTGCAAGTGAATAAAATAAAAAAATATATACAGCAAGGAAAATGCTACAGTTAAACAAATACTTGATTTTTCTGTGCCTTTACTTGCAGTTTATTAGGTGGTTACAGGGTCTCTTTAATAACAAAACAAAAAAGTTTATTTTAAATGGGAGTATAGCAGATACTTGCTCAGTAGAGCCAAAGTCGTGTTTACCATGAAATAATATTACAAAAAAAAAAATGCAGGATAGGACCCACCTCTGAGATCCATCTGGCAACGAAGACCTTTCTTGGTGCAAATACTGAAAAATAAATGATACATTTGTAAGTTTAGAAGGATTTGTACTTCATAAATAAATATTCAAAACTTTACAACTTCTGAATAAAAATTAGAAAGACAGCTACCAGCTTTGACAGTTCTTGTAGGTTGGCACCATTTCCCCAACATTGTAACGTTTACTGTCGTCACCATAACAGCCACAGTCTGCTTGGGCTACACACTTTATGATATCCTCATCAAAGAAAGGTCGCGCTTTGGGACATTTTGGATAACATCCTGGCATAGAATTTATAACACACAAAAAGCTTCAGTTAAATCCACAGACATTTACAGTAAATAAAAATCCTTATTCTCAACTACACAGCTAGAGATTGAGAAAGCTTGCTTATATAACCGGAGATGTCATTTTTACTATTATTGCACAGAAATATAACAGTAGAAACGGTATTTTGAAAATAAATTTTAAACTGAAATATAATTTAAAGGAATACTAGGTATCCCTGGTTTGTAAGTGACCTCTTATATATATCGAGAGGTCCATTTTCCCAGTAGCTCTAGATTTCATATCTCTTGGATGCAATTTCTGCACTTGAGCCCCTAGGTCTGCAAAACATGCTGTGCCCATCAGGAGGACTTCTCAATTGCCATGCTAGATATGCTTATTTTAAAATTCTGAAAAATGAATACAGTGTGTGTGTATGTGATTATTTGAGATTGCAATATTGAAAGTAAATCTCCTGCTTATAGAAAGAGAAATGCAGCATACAAAGTGATTGACAGTCCCTTAAACATGTACAGTTTTTAAAAAGTGTATTTTAGTAGTTCGGTAAAGAAGTTGCCAGGACAGCAAAACATTTTTTTTGTAATATAGAAAGTAATTTAATGGATTTCACTAACCCTCTAATCCAGGTAGCTGGTTCATACACTGGCCACGGGGGTTCCTGCAGGTCTTCAAGCAGGGAGCTCCACATGGTTTGTAGTGCCACTCACACTCTCCTTCAGGGTTGTAGTAATCACAGAACATAGCTAGAGATACGAATAAAATTATAGATATCTGACAAAGACTTGTAATTTTGTGATTTATCCACCGGATAGCACAGCCAGGAGGGTGACACCCTGTTTTTTAGCGTTAAGGAGTACAGTGGTGTCTTCTCTCTGTCAGACTCAATAATCAATAAAAAAGCAACACGCTGATAGGTCATTAACTCTGCTCGCTCTGCCTTTTCCTCCTGTCAGTATATTCCCTATCAGCACATGTGCATGCAGCAGAACTTATTGGCTCTTAGTGCTGTCCCTCCCTCTGCCAGACTGAGCACTGATGGGAGGCTGATATCAAGGCTGATTCAGGTTCATATACTAGTTATTTGTAAAAATATATTTAAATCTTTTAAACAGCTGCATTAAATGGTGTTTTTTAAAATATTCTGTAAGGAAGTCACCTTCAATTAGAAAATCCAGTTGGTGTAGAAAACATTGAAAGCCTTTATCAAGATCCCTAAATAGATATTAATGTTCTCAAATTTTCTCAAAATTAAATCTAACCGTTATAATTTATTATAATAAAATTTGCTATTTCCAATGTCTTTCTTACGTGACCTTTGCTTTCACTCTGTTGCAGTACGGGCCATTATGTGTATCTTAATGTAATAACAATTGACCAAGTCTTCTAATTGTGACTTAAAAACAAAACAAAACTGTGCAGTAACCCTTACAGAAAACCTGCCATGAGGAAAATAAGCCAGCTGCCATTGCTGATCTTTTTCTGAGTATACTAGTTGCCCGACTTTCTTTGGCTTCAATATATTCTAACTAGCGTGCAGAGTAACGTGAGGGTTTTTTTAATGCTTACATGAATAAAGGCTTAGTTTAACTTACGGCATATTTCTGGGGTTCTCCAAGAAACGCAGATTCCAGCATCACTACAAGCCGTGGCATAAGCTGAGACAGCTGTACAATAGCATTCACAGTCTCCTCCAGTGTCACAGCCACATGTGTCTCTAACACAAGCCTCATGGTATGGAGTAGGGTCAACCTAAAAGTAAATCATGATTATATGCTTCTTCCTCAAGAGCTCTTTAATTCAATACTGCTCTATATATTTGGAGAAGTTAAAACTCATTATGATTTCTAAAAAATGTTAATGACACAAAAATAACAGGTTGAGCCAAAAGTGAAATATTAGTTTTGGGTTGATACTACTGGGTTGACTCTTTTACTAGCTGTCTGTCAGGACCTCTAACCGTTTTGAGGTCAGAGGCCAGAGGCCATTAAAGCTTAAATGGCCAGGCCAAATTTAGAAGTCATAGGGGTCTATTCACAAAGCTGCCGAGGGCAGCAGAGTGAATGACCGATCAGAAGTGAAGTGAGCCGAACACTGTTCGGCTATTCACTTCAGGCTGGTACGGCTGATTTCAGCCGTACATCGGCTGAAATCAGCCGTACATCGGCTTGCTTCGTGTGGCTTCGGATCAGCCGAACATGCTTAGCATGTTCGGCTGACCTGAAGTGCAGAAGGAGTTCGACTCAGCCGATCCAACATCTGGATCGGCTGAGCCGAACCTCCGGCAGGCTTCACACTGCTGTTCAGGCTATTCTGAAAGATCCCGAACAGCAGTGAGAGAATAGCCGAATGCCGCCGAGCGGCATTTGGCTCGGCTGTTCTGCTTGGTCCCTCAGAGGCACCGAGCAGAACAGAAAAAGAGTGAAAAAAGTAGAAAAAAGTTAATAGAAAACGATTGTGCAGAGCTAGCAGTGACAGCTAGCTCCGCCCAATAGTTTCCTATTGTCCGGCGGCTCTGCTGCTGTAAAAAAA